GAGTAGTTGGTGTACTGGTGTGCCCCTACTATAAACATAAAAGCACTATCTAGACGTTAACAACATTGACTGTAATTTCAACACTGTGATGCATTGCAATATCCATCAGAGGGAAAATTGCTCCGTGTGGGGTCTTCTAGAAAAGTGCCTACAACATATATCTAACGCACTTTGCATACATTTGTTTCACATATTAACAGCTTATTGGAACTCATTTTTAGTTTGCAGTATTGCCTTGGCATTGTTACTGACTGTTACCAGTGGGAAATTAATGTTCATGGAAGAGGATCAAACTGAAGAGCCTCTGCAGACTGGTGTCGGTTTTCTTACAAATTGATAACTAAATGCCAACAGAGACACAAAGAATGTGGAAACAGAAGGACTTCTGTTTGCCTCATGCATTTTGCATGATCACATTACAGATGGCTTTCAGTAAATGAACAATACTGACACTGTTGTGCCTTGAATGTCTTTTCTTTAAACTTCCTTTTCAAATAATCTGTCGAATGTTGATTTTTTATTTATTTATTTTTTGCTTTGCTGGTTTCGATGAGATACAAAGCGGGTGAGAAGAAAGCAACTGGTTTCTAACGCTGATGTAAGATTTCCCTTAAAAGTACAAGGCCAGCCTATCAGTTGGAAAAAAGTCATCTGTTCCAATTTGAACAGTGGCTGTTTTCACTTTTAGATCCGCTGAAGGATTTTACCTTGTGCTGCTAATGCTGACTTTTGAAAGATACTTCCTTTGTCTTTGCTTTTCAAGAGACATGCTTATAACCCCATTTTTTATAGACACATCGACACATAGACACAGTCCATTAGCAGGCCATTGTGTCTACAGAGAATAGGCAGATAAGAAATCAGGGCTGATGGCAGAATGGAGAGAATAAACCTAAGGGATGTTTACTTCCTAATAAGGGATTTATTTCCTTGTACTCTTTAAAAATGACTCATTGTTTCCACTTTTTTTTTAAAATCAAAATAGTTTGGGGATGAGAGGGCTGTGTACTTGTTTATGATACCTATTTAGGACAGTTTTTGGTATGTTTACTAACCTCCTGAGGATCAACAGGCCTTATGCTGACCGAAGGCTGTTCCTAATGCAGTGGACCCCCATTTCTAACCTTAGAGAGTCAGTTTAGAGGTATGGTGTGAATTAAATTTAGTTTAAGGCGAGGATAAATGCAGTAACTAAAATTATTAAGTCAATGTAAAGTCTTAATGTGTCATTCTTTACTTTCATGAACACTAAAGAAAATACTAGAGCCTATATCCTGTAACTAATTTCATAGGTGCTTTAGATTAGCACGTGTCTCATATGTTTTAAAAATTAACGTGCCATATTCCTGTTTATAAATGAGTATGACCAGAGGAAAAGCATAAACAAGTTTATCTTCCATCAATCACCCCAAAATCATCTTTTCGCAAAGTTTGAGTGGAAAACCTGCTTGTTTGTTGATGAACACATGTGGCTGTTAGACATGTGGAAAGAGAGGACCTGAAACTCATTTAGAATACTAATGATGTGTTTGTAAGTTCCTTTTCGTAATTATCTTTCCTGTGACATTGCTGGAAAGCAGCCTCCCTGTGCAGAGATGAACGCTCGGCATGCAAGTAATAAGGGCTGATTGCATCTTCTCCAACACCCCTCAGAATCTGTTACACTAAACATCATGTAGTAGGGAGGAGAAATTACTGCATGACTGGAATATAAATGTTGATTTCTCTTTGTGTGGCATTCTGTTTGTCTATCATCTCCTTTTTTTAAATCTTTTTTTCATCTCTTTATTCAAAATGTTGAAATATCGCTTGACCTCCTAACTCTCCCTAACTAAGAAAAAAATGCTGTGCATGTGTATTTATTCTCCCTGTACTCCCACCCTCTGTTTTAACTCAAAACACATTTTCCTGGGATCTGTTCGTTTTTTTCTGAGGCTGACGGGAGCTTTGGGAGCTTATACATTCTGATCTTGTTCTTGTGTTCTCTGACAGTATTTCGTTCCCAGGTTTGTTAATCATTGTTAGGAGAAAAAAAAGTGTCCTGGGAGTTAAACAACCATGAGCTGACACCACTTTATTATTCCTGCAGTTATTCAATCAGTACATGGGGGCAAGATGTGTTATCGTACCAAAAAAAAAAAAAAAAAAAAGACAACACAGACTGTATCTGTGAAGGATTGGAAAGTCCAGGGTTGCAAGTGTGCATTAATGACTATAATTCTGGATGTTTGTGCTGGTTTGGAATCTGGACTGCATCCTTCCTGAGTAACTCTTTTAGGTGGAAATGAATCAGAGATGAGAAAGGCTGAATATGAGCGTCAAATGGATGACTTCCGATATGTGGGACTTGTTTGTCAGGATGCATCAAATTACTTTTACTCTTGAGTGGATTAATGATAAGAAGCAATCACTCACATGTTGGCTTTTATTTGAAAATGTACTATGTAATTTAGAGCTATCTATAGTCTAACAAATACCTAAAAATTTTACTGAGCATTAAATATTTCATTTTCATTTAGATAGAAACATAACCTCAGCTAAATGGAGGTTCTTCATGGGAAATGTATACTATTGTCTGCAAGCTTTTAAGTAATCATACAGTACATACAAAAAAGCAAAGTTTTTCATAGATTTTGTGTAAAAACTTAAATGAAATGAACACTGAGAGATTTTTTTTTCATTTTGTAAACCTCTGTGAAACATGTGTCATGCAATCTGTACACCATGAGCTTTGCTTCTTTCCACTGAAATTCACTGGAATTCAAGGAGGCAGGTTCTAGATTGTCCTGACATATTTCTATATTTATGCTGTTTCACCTTGATAAAGCTTTCAGTACAATATTAGTCATATTTTAGTAGGTTGTGTGCAGAAGTTGTGTGATTCTCTGTGTGTTTTGCTGCAGTTGCAGCCCTTCTAACCTACTAGGTTCTAGCCTGTTGTCCTGTTGATTCTTCAAACTAGACTTCTAGGTTGCTCCTCCTTGATTCCCTTCTAAGTGTCCTCCAGATCTGACTGTGACTCAGCTTCAATTAAACACGCTTTATCTCCTTCTATTATACAGAATCCTCACCTATATGATCACATTCCTCTACTCCTCCATCTAACCACCCATCCACCATTCCATACAGTAAATTATCTTAAGAATGCTAGCTTGATCCCTTATGGCCAGTACTTTTGCAGTTTGAAAAATGTTCAGAAAAAAAAATTAAATACATTTTTTGAGTCTAGTGTAGTAAAAGTCCATTGTCTCTGGGTGCATTTCTAATTTTCATAAGTAATGTTCCTTCTAATTTCAGGCTTTTTTTTAAGCTCTCTGTGAGGGGTTATTGACCAAATACCTGATTCATCTGGCTCATTTGCCAGGTTGTATAAGAAGCACAAAGCTCTCGCTAGTTTAAGGTTAAAGAAGGAATCTTTACATTTTGTGAGGCTTTGAGAGAGATGTTGATGCTTCTTCTTCTAAAGCTTTAAAATGTTATAATCTTGGTTCTGTTATGTTTTATTTTGTGTATTCGGTTTGACCTTGTTCCATGTTTTCTAGTTTTTGTGGTTTCATTCTTATTTTGTTGTGTTTTCTGGTTATTTTTCAGTTCTCAGGTTTTTATTTGTTGCCCTCTGCTGCCCTCTTGAGTTCTCCTTTTTTCCCTTGTTCCTTTCTTGTTTCTGCTCTGCTCACACCTGCTCCCAATCTGCTCGTTAGCTCTCCCTTTGTTTCAGTCTCCCATAAATACTCAGTTTTTCAGTGCTGGTTCCACGTCAAACTTCCTCCTACTCCGTCTCTCTGAGCCAACCTCCTTGTGATTGTGATTCCCCTTGATGTCTCCATGGTTTCTGGTTCGTGGACTTTTTTTTCATGTTTGGATTTTTTTTTATTTTTGGACTACTGTTTTCCTGTTAGTTTGGACTTTGTTTTCATTTTTGGATTTTTGGATTACTGGTTTTCCTGTTTGTTTGGACTTTGTCTTTCATGTTAGGATTTTGGATTTCCTGCCTCTGTACTCCGTTTACCTTTTTATTAAATCATCAAGAAACTCACCTCTGCCTCCCTGCATCTGCATTTGGGTCAACAAACCATAACCAAATCCTGACATAAAAGCCACTTGATGGGACTAAACGCTGCAGTGATTTGTGCTGAATTGAATTTTAAATACTGACAAACATCAGCTGGTTTCCAGGCTGTCTTTGTCTTTTTGCTTACGGTATGCTTTTCTTTGTCTTCAGTAACTTCCTCAAGCATCATTCTGATTTATTACAAAAAGAAGACTATGTGAAGAAAAAACTTGGGTTATTACTAACATCTGGTCTGAATTTTACGCAAGTATCCCCATGGAGAATATATTCAGTGAGATAAAGAATGTGTTCAGTGCTCTTGTCCTGGAAGTCAAGGATAAGTCCTGGATGAGGCCAACCTTTTCATGGAAAAAAAAATCAGGACAGGGAGGTGTGCCCGTGTGACACCATAACAGTATAAAAACCAGCAAGCTGGGATATATACCGCAGCACTAAGCAAGGTATGGCTGACGATGCACACTAAACCATATGACAATGCCTTGAATAGTTCTTAATTACCCCATAATTAAGGCCGACTCCCATCTGGACAATTGGATTGTGGCTAATTGTGTTAGCTCTCAGAAATGGCTTGTCTACATCCAAGCACTCTGAAGACTGGTGAGATTCAACAAGTATTGGATCCGACCCCATAGGGACATCAGCTTAAAAAACAGTTTTTTAAATCTTTCAAAAGCCTGTAAAAGATGAATGATATTAAACTTTTGAGATTCTACTTAACCTTTGTTAATAAATAAAAGCTAAACCATCTTTTAAATGCCCATAAACGGGGCAAGGAAAGTACCTGGTTACTGGAAAGTTTGCAGTTTACTGGAACTCATCCACCACACACAAACAACCAGCAGCTTGCAGCCTGTGTGTGTGTGTGTGTCCAGCATAAAGACGCTGAGCTGGCCCTATGCTCCCACCTCCCTCTCTTGGTGTAAAACCCCTGCTTTTCATGCGAGTGAGCACAGCACTGCCCCACACAAGAAGCAGAGGAGGTTTAAAACACAGGATACGTTGTTCACACTAGACCGGCAAATCCAATGACTGAGTGGATAATATTTGTTCAACTCTTTTCAGGGTTCCTTCTGATTTCAGGTAGGCTAAACATTTGCTAATTTTGTTGTTGTTGACTAATTTAACATGTAATTTATGAGATGTCTGCCTTGGTGATAACATTTTGTACCTTCATTTTGAAATGGTTAACCGAAAAGAAAAAAAAAATAACCCAAGAAACAAAGAAAGAGACATATCTGTATGAAAACACAAAGCCTACTATTTGTCAGATCTGAACTATCTTCAAACAAAAAATGTGGTAGGTTAGACTGTAGGAACCTGCAGAAGTCTTGTTTAGCCAGCAGAGAGCAGCAAACTTGTCCTACTGCAAAAAAAAAAAAAGCTCTTTATAGTGGAGATTGTTGAATTTGTGGACATGAATCAATCATTTAAAAAAGCTGATAAGAAAAAATTCTGGATACATTTTCTGTAGTTAATGTGACAGAATCAGATAAAACGAAAAAGTAAGAGATGCTCATATGTCTATGTTTTCAACACTTCAGTTACTAACTACTGCCTTTATTTTAAATTGGTGTTAGCCTTTGAATCCAGATGACTTCAACATGAAGACACTTTTTTTTTTTTGGCAACTGCTGAGCTTTCAGATTGATACTGTAAAAGGATAAAACTAAGTTAAGATGTTTTTTTTTAATGAAGTTCTGTAAAATACATGTTAAATACAGGAACTGGGCTTTTTGTGTTGTTGTGATTTTGTTTATTATGATTTAAGAGAGCAGATGTCTTTCTAGGAAGGGCACTTGATCAGATCCATGTGCACGCTCTTGAATGGGTTTTATAGGCGTTTCCTCTCGGGAACGGGTGCAGGGATTTGCATGTGATTTTTTTTTTAAGTATAGAGGGCGGTTCTTTTCAAAAATTAGAGAAAATCTTCCACAATACCTTTAATTCTTCACATTAAGATAATTCATTGATTAATATATATATATATATATATATTTTTTTTTTTTTATCATATTCTGTGTATAATTGTGCTTTTATGTTGCTGCTAAAGCTTGGAGCCATCAAGAGTATTTTATCATATGGTACATTAATTAAAAATAAATACATCTTAAAGCATTATGTTATTAAATGTTTTTGTTCTGCTTACATTTCTACTGAGATGATGTGAAAGACTGTTGAAATAATGGCATTAGAAAAAAACATAAATCACATATTGCAAAGATTTTGTTTATTTTCATTCATATTAATACAGAATATATTCCTGTACTTTCATGGGGCAGGTAAAGATGCCTGTTTAATTAAGCTGGACCCACCTCGTGTAGTGGTGAAACACGGGGACCCGGTCTTGGTGAACTGCACCACATCAGCCACTGATATAGAGGGAATCGGATGGGAGGCATCACAAGGAAGCACAGGCCTTCAAAACGTGTCCCATCTGATGTGGAACGTTAGCAGTCTCACACATTGGGAAGCGAAACCCAAGTGCTTTTATACCCTTAAGGATGATAGTCAATGTAGTGTTGAGCTGGGACTTGTCATCTACCGTAAGTATTACAATTCGAACAGATTGTAACAGTTATTTCACAATGCCTGACAATATTTTCCAATCTTCCAGAATTTCCAGAACACATTGACATCAGCCCCCCCCGTTCATTTGAAGAAAATCAGATGCATCAGCTTTTCTGTGGTGTCCCAAATATTTTACCTGTTCAAAATCTCACCATAACGTGGTACAAAGGAAACACAATCGTCCAGACAGAGACTTTTCAGAATGACGAGAAAAAACCCACAAATCAGACTTCTTTATATAAATTTATACCAACGAGAGAGGATGACCGAACCACTATCAGATGTGAAGCAGACATGGACTTGGGGCCAGAAGGTCCACAATTTAATTTATCTTCAGAGATATTAAATATCCAGGTTCAGTGTAAGTAATTCATTACCAGTTTCACTTTTGTCTTTGTCTATCTTTTAACCGTTTCACAATTTCTTACATCCTGTACTGTATAAAGATGTCACCACTCAAAGACTCGTTTTGAAGAGGAGAAATAAAAATAGAAAAAAATTGATTTAATCTCAGACTCTCCACTATCCACTCATCTCAACATGCTGGATACTTAGTAACTAAAAGAGAAAGTGATTGGATGGCTAAGTTTTTGGCTAACCTGGTGAAAGAAAATCAATCAAATATTTAAATATCACTGCAAAGGTTGCCAACAGATCATTTGATATTGAAAATGAAATAAATAACAATGAGACTTTGATCTCATCTGAAAAATAAGGTATTGATGGTATTGAAGATGTTATAGAACTTTCTAAAAATAAAATAAAAAAAAACCTTCTCTTCCCTATCTTTATAAGTATGTCACTGTTGCTTTTCAACCCGCCAAGATGTGTAAAAACTTTAGGAATTACTGTGACAGGAGCTGAATCTGCCCCTTATTTCATAAAATAAAATTAAATAAAACTGAACTGTTTATATTTTTTTGCCAGTTGGACCTGATATTGACTGCTTCAAGATAGAGATTAAGGAGGGAGAATCTTTGGAAGGGAAATGTAATGTGACCGGAAACCCCATCCCAAAAGTTACGTGGCTGAAAGATGGACGAACCATAAACCTGACTGACCCACTGAGAAGAGATGACACAGGGAGATATAAAGTAAAAGCTGATCAAAATACTGATCGAAATTCCTCGGTTAAGGAAATCCAAGTCAATGTACTTTGTGAGTTTCCCTCTGGCATGTTAAATGTTTACTTTGCGTATTCCAAACATTTGGTAGGTGGTGTGGGGAGAAATTTAAATACCGTTTCATGTTTCCCATTCCAGATGGACCAGAGTGGATCTGTCCCGATGCATATAATATTTCAGAGTACACTCCACACAGCCTCAAATGCAGCAGGGGCTTCCCAAAACCTCAAGAGTTCTGGTATAAAGACGAAGAGGAGTTTACACTTCCAAACCAGCTAACAAGAGGAGATGCAGGGCAGTACTGGGTCACAGTTTCAAACAGTCTGAATTCTCTCAACTTTACAATAAACATTGATGTTTATTGTAAGTACTTCATAATCCATTTTTTTTAGGATGTGCATTATATTGTTCATTTGTTTTTCCAATAATTCATATGTGCTGTTCTGTTTTTTGCAGACCCACCATCAGATATAGTGGAGCTTGAAGATTCTGAAGTTCAGGTGGGAGAAGATTTAGGACTTAAATGCTCTTCTGTGGGATACCCACGCCCAACCTACTCCTGGAGTTACCACAAGGCAGGCAACATTAAAGTAAGAACTGAAGATGGAGTGTCTGGTCTCATCATCCATAATGCCACTAGGTTCAACACAGGTTTCTACACCTGCAACGCTTCAAATGTGAGAGGCAACGTCACAAAAACAGTTCGAGTCACTGTCAAAGGTAAGCCCAGAGAGATGTACAGAAGTGATTCATAAAACTGAAGGGACTTATCAAAACAGAAGCTTTTCTTTCCCAGCATCTGTAAAATATTCCTTATAGGTATAGTGGAGGATTTTTATGAATTTTTAAAAAGACCCGCCCTTTCCACTTTTAAAAAAACGCACATGCACAACCCTGTACCCGAATGTCCGCTCTAATCCCTGAATCCTTCAATCACTATCTAGAATGGGGGCTATAATGGACTTTATAGCAGACTCGGTTAACTCACAGTTCGGACAGATGATCCCTGCTTTTTGCTCCTCACGCTCCATCTTTGTTATTAGTTGCTGGTGTCGGGTAGCGACAGCCTATGGAGACAGCGGGCACTGTGACAGCAAATCCCATAATGCTTTGTGAGAAGAGCTCTCCTCACAAAGCATTATGGGATATATCTGTCTCTACTGAGGCCATTTTATTCTCATACACTTTGTAGACACTTTTTCTCTCATGACCCTCAGCCATTTTCAAAGCATACGCAGGATAGGATAGCTAATGGGAAGAGCAGGTAGGACGGCCTTATGAAACATATCACCAGAATGATTGACAATTAGGAGGACCCCTTATTTAGATGATCCACCCAGAAATAAAAGATTGTCCTCTATACCTTTAAAGAGATGATGCCTTGTACCTTGTGCTGCTATAGTTTATGGAGCTGCTGGTCATCTTCTGCACCCCAACCATTAGATTCAAAATACAACAAACAATCTGGTTTAAAAACTTTCCTCCATTCAAATAATCTCCATTCAGGAAAAAAAAACGGGGGCCACAGATCATTAAAAAAGACCAGATTAGACATCTTACTTTGGGTGGATGATACAGAGGCCATTTGTAGTTAAACAAAAGCTCCTCGGCCTCTGCAGATGGCCGCTCACACTGATTCTGGTTCTGCTGGAATGTTTCTGCCCACCATCGCTACAAGCGTACTTGGTGTGAGGGATTGTTTTCAATTTTATATGTCCATGCAATCAGCAAGTTTCTTGTTAGATAGAACAGTAAAGTGCAGTTAAGTGCCTGGAGATGACTCGTGTTGTGAATTGGCGCTATATAAATAAACTGATTTGAAATTGAAGTAAAATTCCTTTCATGTCTGCATAAAATGGGAAAAACAAAGGCTGAATCTGCCTTTGAATAAAACACCACTGATTTATATAATGTAACACAATAATTGCATAGGCTACGATTTTAAACTGTTGTTTTTTGCATACATACATATAAATATATACCAAACGAGTCACTTTAAAAAAGCACCTTCGTTGTGTCACATGTTTTTTTTTTTTTTTCCATTTGGCAGTTTGGCTGCAGGCAGCGCTGCTTGTTGCTCAGCTGCTCCATTTATAGTCTCAGTGGGAGTGTGTGGGCATGCCGTGACTCCGTGCCCAGTGTTGGGGGGGAGGGCTGGTTTCCTCTCCACCCGATGAGGAGCGACTCGGAGCCTGGATCCACAGCTTAGCTTAGCCTGTTGCTGTAAAAAAAAAAAAAAAACTCCTTATACTTCCTCTCAGTCCGCCTCTGGCTGTTTCCGTTCGGCTTTGGAGAAGCAGGAGAAACTCAAGAGAAGCAAAAAAAAGAGGAGAAATTTGCAGAATTTAGCTCCTGATTGTTTTAATTTTTTTATTTTCCAATGGATGATTTCAGCTGGCTTCGCCTGCTTTCTGTGATTGTGGTTTTAATGCTGCCGTCGCTCTCTAACGGGACTAAGTCCAGTAAGTTGGGGCGCTTGGAGTGTGCGCACTTAGCGCATGTTTTCTGCTTGACTCGGGATCAAAACGGTTCATTGTCTAATGCTTACTAATAAAGTTGTCTTTCATGTTGTTTAAAGATTTATAAAACTAAAAACATTATGGGAAATAATAGATTGGAGGTTGATCAAAAAATAGTTGTACGTTTCTTAAATAAAATAAATTAAAAGTGTCATGTTAATGATAACAGACTTTGTTTCATTTCTCTTGAAATGTGGGAGCTGATTGTTATTCTATGACGTATTGAGCTTATCAGTAAAAAACAGCTTAAGGAATTTTGGCAGCAGGAGGAATATCCTTCCTGGACCTTTTCCTGTTGCCCCCAGATCTTCCATTGTATTATAACTCATTACCTCTTAAACACTATTTCAATATTCCTGAAAATAATATCATATAATATCAACACCAACTATGGTTGCTAAACTGCAGTAAAACACATTTTTTTCCCCATCCTGTTTTCTGTAGGTGATGTAGAAGAATGCCCCATTGAAATACAACCAGACTCAATGGTGTTGGAATACCAAAGCGGAGGGCATAGTGCAGTTTGCATGCCCACAACCAGTGAGTCAAATGTCAAGGAGATATACTGGGAGGTCCATGGGGATAAATTTAATAACAGAAGTTGGAGTCCTGACACACATGAAAATTGGGACCCAAGTCCTGTTTGCCACGGAGAGTTTCTGGGGATAGGATCGTGTAACAAAACTTTGCCCTACATTCTCTACAGTAAGTGGGCCTAATGTTTGTCTTCTTGCCACTACACCTGATTCTATGGACTTTAATTGTTTTCCTTCAACTCTCCCTGCAGAACCTCCAGATGATGTCTCCATCACCATCAGTAATATGTCCACAAAGGAAGGAAGTAAAATAGAGCTAATGTGTAGCATTAGGAATGTGGCTCCTGCAGACCGGCTCAACGTTACATGGACTTGGCAAAGAGGGAATGAGACTGTTGACCCTGGTACAGCCTTTTTTAAAATTATTTTTATCCATAAGGTGAAAAAGTAATCAGTCATAGTAAAACAGTGACAATTAACAGCATGTTATAGGCACATTAGCAGATAAAGGATAAAGTTATTTTCTAGGGCTTCAAGCATGGCTGGATTCTTTACTCATATTCACAACAAACCACAAGATGTAATTTTTAGAAAAGTTTTAGGGTTCCTAGAATCCTACAATTTTTCTTAGAAGATTAATTCACAAAAAAACTAACCCCTTGTTTCCACTAAATGTGAAAGCAGGGTGGAAATGCGTCAGTGCAGCTACGCCCTGCTTTTTGCCAGGTGCCCTGTTCCTTAAAGAGTGGTTCAGAGCAGGCCATCTTTGCACCGTTGGACAAATGTAGTCATTTGCTTGTAAACTGGACCGGATCCAATTTGGTTTTCATCAACTGATCGATATGTGTTTGGTGTGTTTAGCGGCAAAAATGGATCAGTCGCATGTTTTATAGACGCAGGGATTCCCAGCGGTTGCTTTAGAAACGCATCACTGTGCTCCAGGTGGAATAGCTTTGACTGACCAGAGTTGCTGTGATCAGCTGCAAAGGTGCAGGCTCACCACTTCCACATTTAGCGCAAAAGAAGGGTTAGAAAGCTCCTATTTACACGTTGGTTATTCTACACTTCTAACTTACCCACCATCATAATTCACAACAAAATAACTCCTTCTATTGATTATAAACAAAATTAAAACTTCTTCCTTTTTTATTTTTTTGGCAATCCAGTTATTTTCACTAGTTCAGTTCTCCAATGGTTGAGGGCACTAAGTGTAGTGCTGCTATAGTTGTCGCTCATTGTGGTATATTTAATGTTGTAATCGACTAGTTAACCATTTACAGCCCAATAATTGATCTGATTTGCATATATGGCTGTTATACACAGACATTTATAAATAAACTAGGGCTGCAGCTAATGATTATTTTGCTAATTTATTCATTTGTCAATAATTTTTTTGTTTTTGTCGATTAATAATTGAATAGCAAAATGTTCCTTGAGGAACACTTTTTGCAAAATTAAACAAGATGAAACCTGCTTAATCTTTTCCATTTGAGGAGTTCTAGATAGAGCATATTGACAGATTAAAAATGCTAAATGTTTATATATCTTTTTTACTGCTCTAAGTGCGTTGCTTTGTCAGCTAAAGGCATGTTTTAGAGTCTCTGTACGCCAGTTAACAATTGATTACAAAATTAGTCGACGATTATTTCAATGATCGATTAATCAGATGAATTTTTTCAGCCCTAAAATATACTCATAAAACTACTAATATACCGAAGAGTTTAAGTTAATGTCTCTGTCTTTCATTAATTGTTTTGAAAAATCTGGATGCCGTTGTTGTTTAGATTTCTGTTGGTAGGATCTGATTCCAATACATTTACTGCAGTTCAGCCCCAGTGTCCAATGGAAATAAAAAAATTTTGAATTTTGTCATCAAGTCTTTGAACCCTTTATTATATCAATTTGTATCAGAGTCACAGCTTATATAAAGCCCTATACATTATAATGTATTATTATTTCAGCCATGTGGGTTTTTCTGTAATCCCCCAGATTCTTTGGGAGTGAGCAATGAGGCCAAGTGCCCCCCCTCCAACAAGACATCTGCTGTAGATGTGACTTGCACCATGAACATCACTCTGAATAGGACTCACAATGGAATCCAGGCCAGATGTGAAGCTGAACTTAACCTGGGACCTAAAGGACCACAACCTCCTCCAACCATGTCATCCAATTCTTTCAATCTCAGCGTTCAATGTGAGATTTACATTTACTTCATAGCAGTCAGTGCCCAAATGCCCAAATCAAATGGACAAAATATCAATTTATGATGTTGAATTATAAGAATAAACTTTATTATCTCCTCTCCTTTATTAACAGATGGACCCAAGATTAACAAAACAAAGCTTCAAAAGTTGTTTCTAGTAATCAGAGGTTATAAAGGGGAGCTTGTTTGTGAAGCTGATGGCAACCCGGCCCCAGATATCAAATGGAATTACACCTCAAAAACAGCTTTTCTTGAGTCAGATGAAACACTAATTGTGAACGAGGAGGGCCTCTACGTCTGCACCGCTACAAACAACATCAGCTCGGACACACATCGGGTTGAAGTCGTTCTAGGAGGTAAGTACAACTCTGCTGCAGAAACACACATATGGAAATAGGGGTGCAGCAATTGCTCAACTGGTCGTTTTTCTTAATTTAGGTTGATATGAACATATGAAATCAATCTTATCTATCTGCTCTGCAATGGTATATAAATCCCCCACTTCTAGTACTCTAAATGTTTCATCTTAATTTGAGAGGACTACCATCTTTGTTATTACTTTTTTTAACTGTGCAGTTAAAAAAAGTTTGCATTGTTTTACAGCTGTTGCTCAGAGTTTTCCAATAAAAATTTGATTGGAATATTAAAGCTGTTTTATTGGGCTCCCCCAATATATCAAAAGATTTATTTTCTGTATTCATAAACTAGGCAAGAGGAGTTTTTTTCTATTGCATCTTTTAGTAGCAAGACAATTCAAAGTGCTGTTAATGAAAAAAGAAATAGGAAATAGGAAAAGTACAATGCTTTGACATAATGTTAATCACACAGTTAATGAATATGAAAACGAAAGGCAATAAAAATGAAAACAAAATAGATAAATTGGTAAAATTATCTTAAAAAATTATGATAAAATGATTGCTAATGAAATGAAAGAAAAGTTGGAGTACAAACCTCACTAGTAATGTTTAGATAGCACAGCCAAAATCCACTCTAAACATGTGTTTTTAAAAAAAATCTTGATTATAAGAAACTTAGGTTTTCAGCATTCTTACAGTTAAATGGGAGTTTGTTCCTGATCAGTGGAACATGAGAACTTAAATCTTCATTTCCATGTGTTGTTCCGGTTCTGGGTATGCATAGTAGATTTGAGGTAGAAAACCTGAAATATCTGGGTGGTTGATCTACTGACAACAAGTCTGTAATCTATTTTGGAGCTAAGCCATTCAGTAATTTATAAACTAACAGAAGTATCATAAGTTTGTCAATTGAGATACGGAGAGCGAATGGAAGGAACTGGGGTCATGTGCTCCACTTTCTAAACTTTAGTGAGGACGTGAGCAGCAGTATTCTTGAGCAGTATTCTTTTAGGCAGACTTGTGAAGACGGTGATGAAGAAATCAATTCTACTGAAGATGAACACATGAATTAGTTAAGTTTTTTTTTTTTTTACCTCCTGCTAATATATTAGTCCTTCAGTGCTAGTGATGTATGGTCGACTTAGTAACTGTGTTTATGTGCCTCTGAAGGTTCAGGTCAGAGTCAGAGATAGATTGATAAAGCTGGATATTGATGCATATTGGATGGATTCCATTCCAATTCTCAAGGTTTAGAGTTAATTTCGATATGATTTGATGTGATCTAAAAGTGGATTGATAGTAAAAACATAACTTTTAGCAGTGGCCTGAATTAAATTTCTGTGTAGTTATGCTAAATATTAATACTAATATTATATTAACATTCACCAGCTAATTAAAAAGGTAATGTTAGTTAAGGACAGTGGAAATGCATCTTTGGTTATATAAATCAATGTGTAGAAATGAATGACAATGAATTCATAATTAGAAAATTTATTTTCTTATAGCCATAGTCTTCGATGTATATTACCTTTGCAGCAGGCATATCACATGCCGCTAAATGGTTGGCTCAAATGTTTGCAAAAATGTGGTTCATCTGTGTTTGATCAATCGCACCCAAGCTTGAAACATCTGACCAGTCAAATGGATCCCCTTAGTTTTTGGCCAGTTGGATGGATCTCTTAACATTAGATTCAGCCGCTTTCATAGATGTGGCCAGCTAACAAACTCACCAAGTTTAATCAGAATTACAATAGTCAAGAAAACAACTTAAAACCAATAGTTCATCTAAAATAAAACTGCATGTGTTTTAATTTGAGATGCTTTTCTTTAAGGAGGGAGACAACGTTCTGCAAACAGAAGTACTCTACTAGACACGCTGAGCACGTGTAGTGGCCATAAGAAGAAATTTAACTAATCTTAATTTTTACCTTAAATACAAAATACAGTTTTAAAAATTCCAAAAAAGCTGGCACCAGCAAAAATAAAGTTGCAAATGTTAGAACAACTAAAGGCTCCCAAATGCTCACACTAACTGTGTGCATACTGTGTGCAAAAACTTTGCAGACAATACAGAGGTTTTACCTTCAAAGTAAAGCTTCTAATTTCCTACATTTGTAATGACGTAGTTGTACGTTTTCCACATTTTCTATCAGTGGGACAGAGAAAGAGACAATGGGTGATATCATAGTTGAAGTTTCTAGCACTGTTTCTACTTTACCAGACACGCCTGCCAGTGCAATTTACAACAAACCAACAGAGTCTGGGAGATTTGCCTTGAGTACGATGAGCAGAAAGGGCTTTGTTACTCTCAAGAACAAAATGGGCCTGAGATAAAATGTGGGAAAAGTGAGGGGCTGTGAATATCTTCTGGATATTTAGTCACAAATCACTGGAGATATCTTAATGACAATGTTATCCCACTAAAGTTTTTCCTAACATCTTGCAGTTATAGTTTATTGTGACCTTGTAACACCTGTAAGTGTCATTTGCTTGAAAAATCTTGATCAGTAAAGATCAGAATCAGCAGGTCAAGACTCTGCTCAATCAGTGCACCCATGTTGGAAATGGCTTCAATTATTTTTTTGTTTTTTTGTTTTTTGTGGGGAGGGGCTTGCTTTGAAGCCCTGCAGAGTCAGGGGAAAACGAAATGGGAAGAATGCATTTCTAACACTTTGATTATTTTTCTTCTATTGTGTCAATTCATGCTGATTTGGCTGAATGTGCTTTGAAACAGATCTCTACAGCTCGTACAGAATTTTGCTTCGATAGCATAAAATAAGTAACATCAACTTCAAAACATTGACATGAAACATACAAAAAATGTGCCCTTCGCTGATGATTTTTGACACAGGAACAAAGAAAAGGGGTCCAGCATCCTGTTATCCATGATCCCATTACATGCAAGTTCTGGCTGATGTTTGATACAGCCTTCCTGCCACACTTGAGTGTTGTAACGACCGCATTGACCCAATCTCCATTATGTTTTTTTTTTTTTTATATGTAATACGACAGTCAAGTTTTGTTTTGTTAAAAAGGTGCTGCATATATATCTTTATTCTGTTTTTTTGGTCGTATATATATATTTTTTAATCCATTCAGTTTTCTCCATTCTCTGTTGCTGTTTTTTTTCTCACAGTATTTGTTGCAGACACAAAACACAAGGTCATAGACTTTCTTCTTATCAATTTATTGAATACACCTTTTTTATTCATCATAATGATTTTTTTGGTTCAACCTCAAGAATGCTGAAGCTGCAAGTAGCTGTAATAAGCCATGCAATCCCCCTATCTCTGCTAGATAATCGTATCACTGTTATTAGGCTACAAAAATAGCTGAACCCGGGTGGAATGCATGCTTTGGGACCTTGAGGGGCGTCGGGTGCGAAGTGCATTAAATGGAGCACAACAAAATGATTCAGAAAGACCCAACCCTCAGAATAGGAGTGAAAGAGGAACTTGTGAAGCAACAATAAGAAAAATTAAGACTAAAGCACCGCAGTCACACTTTATACAAACCACAAGTGAATTATTTAAATATGAAAAGAAGTGATATTAAGGGAATGATATGCCCCCCTTAAAAAAGAACTGAGTGGAGAAGCTCATTGGGAAAGAAAAATAAGATTGGATTTTGGTCAATCAATGGTCAACCAACTGTAATGATATTGTAATAATTGTATTAATATTGTTTAAAAGGATGGACTATGCAATATGAAAAAATACTTTACACAATGAATAACATACATTGTGTATGGAAAATTAAAGGGAGCTGCCTAAGTTTGATTTAAATAGTATTGACTTCACTGTTTATTAATAAACACAACAATAGCAGCAGATACTAAAGAGACTGCATCGCTTGGTCTTCTGGCACAGGATGGTCTAAAGAATGTGAATATCTGTAACTGTTTTTTTATGACAAGCTGGATTTAATTTCTGAAATCTTAGCAGTGCTTTGATCTTGGTTTGCTGCTTTTTTATGGCAGATCTAGGTTCAGTAAAGATGTGTATCCAAAAAATGGGGTGAACCTGAATATAGCAATGCCAGGATTTATTGGGCTTTTGCAAGAGGTCAATCTTTAGACATCAGGTTTACGCATGGATCTGTCGACAGCATCCAGAATTGATCCCCAGTAATCTTCTTTGTGATGTACTGAAGAGGATTCTGCAGAATTCCACCTCTCCCATTATCTTTACAAGTTCCTGCGGGAAATTAAAGGGACTCGTGGTGTAAACAAGAAGCTCTGAAGTTGTAGAAGCTTATTGAAACCAAGCCACAGCAAAAGACGAGAAAAAAACAGTCCAACACAAAATAGGGAGAAATAAAATGTTACATTATTTTTGGACAAGGAGCCTAGTTTTTAAGATGGTGAGCATTTCAAGATCAGTCAGTCTGAATGTTGTGTAATAGGCAGTAGTTATTTGGATATGAAGCAGCCATCAGGGGATAACAATTAAAAAAAGGTATGATTAAAATACAGATTTTCTACTGTTGGTTGAAATGCGTCTTCAGCCTTTAAAAAAAAAAAAGAGATTGAATGCATGAATTGTTTGTTTTCCAGCCCAACACAAGATATCTTTTCTAGGGAAATTATTCTTTAAAGCTTTTACACTTCCTTAAATTGCAGCCTTTTGTAACATTGTTTTTTCTCCTTTTCAGAGGACTACCTGCCCCTTCTAGCTGGATTTGTGGCTCTCACAGTTGTTATCATCTCCATCATCTTCATCTTCATCTACTCAATCTACTACAAGAACACCAAGATGCGTCGCTACAGTCTTAAAAACCCAAAGCTCAGCAGTCACAATGGGAATGTAGCTCACAACAGCTGGGACATCCAGTTGCCAGTAACCAAGCTGTCTTAATAGAACTGCTGTTAATGAAGGATATCTGTTTATTTCAGAGCTCCATCTCTACAGTGCTGTTAGGTCTAAAATGCAGACAGGAGATTCACACTGGACAGACTGGAAGTAGCTTCATATTATTCTTAAATATGCTTTTTTTTTATCTTTCTTCTAAAGGTTTTATGCCTTTAAATTATGGAAAAATTCTCAAGTTGTTATCATCTGTTTTAATGGATAAGAAAAATGAAGAAATGAGGTCATAAAATTTGCCTTAGAAACAGATTTTGTACTTTTAATAAGAAGGGCATATAATGTGTTTGCTTTGGTTTTGTATAACATTCAAGTCTTATTTATATCAATGTGTCCCCATTAGATTCTGTTTGTGTTTTTTTTTTTTTTTCTTCAGTTTCATTTAGAAAAAGAAGAAAAAAAGGCATAGCTTTAGCTGTTAAGAAAAACCTGAAACTGATCTGGTTAAACATGATAAATGAATGAAAATCTGGAAGCTGTTTTATTTTGCATTCATTTGCCTCTCCTCTAACTGTGCCTGCCCTTTTTTACTGGTGCCAAATTGTGCCAGGCTCCTCCAGCCCGGTGGATGAAATTCTCAATGCTTTTTCTATGCCTGACTGTTGCCATTTCTAGCCTTTAAATGTATATTCAAGAAAATATTTGATATAAATGAGAAGTTTATATTTATTAATGATGAACAGTTGAAAGTTTGCTTTAAAAAGCGACTGCATTTGTAAAGCTAGCTAATTTTTTGAAACCAAAGCAGTCCAGACTGTGATATTTGAAAGAACACACTGTACACATTTGTGAATACTGCTGTAAATATTTGTTATTTTTTAAAAGAAGTTTTTTTTTAACTATTAAAATTATGTTTTTATACCACTTTGCCTTTGAAACCTTCATAAGTTGTCAGTGAACAAAGTTTTGTATTACTTGAAATATCAGAAAAATCAATCTTATACAAATAGTTGGTTTAAAATTGTCATTTGATTCTAAACAAATGCTTAATTTAAAAAAATCGTATACGAGTTTAAATATTCAGTTGAAATTGTTTTTAAATAATTGAATTATTTTTATGGCAAATTAATGACCTTGGGATTTTCTCTGAGCATAAAACCTTCCTTGTTTGTGAAGAACATACTACGGAAGAGGATTAGGGCCACTGAAAAAAAAAAGGTTAACCGATTTTTAAATATTATTTTAGAATATATATATGGGGGAAAAAAGTCAGAATTCCGACTTTGATCTCAGAATTCTGACTTCTCAGAATTCTGACTTTAATAGTAAATTTCTGACATTAATCTCAGATTTCTGACTTTAATCTCAGAATTCTTATTTTTTTCCTCAGAATTCTGAAAAAGACTTTAATCTTAGAATTCTGAATTTATTTCCCCTAGAATTCTGACTTTAATTCCAGAATTCTGTCATGAAGCGCAGACAGATGGACACAGTATTCAAGGAGAGACACTCAGTAGGAAAGTTCAAAAACTTTTTTTAAATAAAACAAAAACTAAAGTT